CCGGACCCTAGTCTTCTCTGATTCTTCCTGACCACCAACACTCTGCAATCGTGACAAGCCTTCAACAGCTGCTAAACCTTCTGGCGATCTCCAAGAATCAGTCTGCGAACTCCACCTTTTCAGCTTCCAGTCCTAGAAGATTCTCATGTGGTCGGCTGGTACTAGACTCACATGAGAAACCCTAACCTTGCTCTGATACCATGTAGATGTTCAAGACTGTTATCAGTCTTGAGCACTAATAAATTTCATGTTCGAAAAAGGAGAGAAAGAATAGAGGAAAGAGGAGAAAGAGTAGAGAGAGAGCAGTAGAACACAAGATTCGAAATGAAGGACAGAATCTCAATATTCTGCCGCCGCCACTTCTATTTAATATTTATATGTTATGCTAGTTACATGAAAGGACACATCTGCCCTTGGTATTTACGTAACACAAAACAATATAAAACTGAAATATAAATAACAACTAGAATAACAGATTGACCATCAGCTAGCCCTAGGATGACTAGGTACATTCTACCCTACGGACAGAGTGGGACCACAGCTGTGGGGCCCACATCAGTGTTCTCTACAAAACACAAATAGAATCTGTAGCACAATACAAACTGTCTAAATTTGTTTGATGTAAATAATAGTACCTTTTTAGACTCAGCATAGAGCCCCATTCCAGCAACATAGAACGGAACCTCACGACAAAGTGTAGCACCAGTTCCACGAAAGAAACCTTTTAGGCCATCTTGACGCATGGTACCAACAATTGCCTCTCCCACATTGTCAAAAATGCCTGCCTGTAAGCGCTGCTTCAATACCTCGCAAGGGATCCGCACTGCTGTCCCCAAGATTGTGCTGCAAAAGGATGATATAGATTGCACCTGATGAACAAAAACATATATCAAGTTTATTAAATTAAGTTTACTAATAACAGCTTACTTCTTATGAAAAACTCCCAGTGTTGTATGTGAATGTGTGCAAGAGAGAGAGCGAGAGAGAGAGAGAGAGAATTATTTGTACTATGGATGGGAGAGTAGCTTATACAGATAACAGTATATCATAGGATCATAGGATGAAGAACTGCAAATTCTGAAATTGAACAAGAATAGGCTATTGTATGAACTTGAGAAACCTAATAACCAGTTACCTGAATATCCGGAAGAGTTGGCGCAACATTTATTAGTACAACTTTGCTTGCTTCAAAAATTCCAGTCCGTAATCCATGGCTGCCATGTCAAAGAAAATATACATAAATGTGAGCCAGAACAACAGATATTCTTACATACAAAATAAAGATGAGAAAGCTAACCTTGAAAATTGACCAAGAATTGCTGGGATGGAACCCCTATACAGTCCCTGCACTCCAATTTGAGGAAGCATTGATACAATTTCAGGGAAGGAGAGTGTCGATGCTTGCACTCGAGTCTGAAAAAATAAGACATCATTATGAAGGCCCAATGATATAATAGTATCAGAACGATAAATACTGTACTATAAATAGAAGGATTGTTTAAGGAGTCCCCAAAAGATGTTGGAAATAGTTTTTGGTCTTTGCTAGAGCTTGCACCATATCTCTTTAGTAGGGAAAGGGATGAAAGAGGTAGTAGAGGGTTCAGATAGGGCTTTAAAGAATGAGGCACAAGAAAACAGGCCCGAAGAAGAACATGTCCATATACGACCATCAAGATTAAGAGGGTCCAGGAATACTTCTTCCAGGGTGTGAAATAAATTAAGCACATTAGGCATGTCAGAATCCCTTAGTCCCCTTCTAAAACCCAAATCCCAACTGAAGCCATTATTAGAGTTTGAAGGAACCAAGATATTGGAGATAGGAAGATTATGCTTAAATGACAAAGCAAATAGTAATGGGAATTGATCTTTTAGAGGGGAATTTCCAACCCAAACATGTTCCCAGAATTTTATACGATCTCCAAAACAAAGGTCATACCTGACATAGGGGAGGAAAGAAGGTAGCACAGGATTGATAGCTTTACAAGGAGATGTTTGAGTTTCCCTAGCTGACACTCCAGCATCCCACCCATTGTCCAAGAGCCCATGAATGCTGATGATCACTTTGCACCACAATTTGTCCCTCTCTAGAGGCATCCTACACAGCCACTTCCCCCAACAAAGCTAAGTTCCTTCTCAGTACATTCCCTAGCCCTAAACCCCCCAAGGCTTACATCTTTTAACTACTATTCAATTGACCCTATGATCCCTTTTTTCTTCCCCCAGCTCCCATAAAAAATCTCTCATCAATTTTTCTAGCCTTTGTCCAACACCTTCAGGGAGCTTGAAGACTGGCATGAAGTAAATTGGAAGGTTTGCTAAGGTCGATTTAATCAATGTAATCCTTCCCCCTAGTGAGAAATACCCTTTTTTTCCAACAAGCAAGTCTCTTAGTAAACCTTTCCACGTCGGGGCTCCAAAAGCTTGACTCCTTTGGGTTGGCTCCTAGGGGGTAAACCTAAGTAGTTACGAGGCCATTGTGTTACACTACACCCCAAGATTGATGTACACTCTGTCAGTTCCCCTACTTCCATATTTATACCCACTATGCAGATCTTGTCAAAAAATTTTTTGATAAGTAATAGTAAAATTTTATTAATTCAGAACCTGATTTAGAATTGTAATTTTGTACAACATCCCATGGAGAGGCGCGAGCTGCAGACCATGCAACTCTTGTCAAAATTAATCTTTAGGTGTGACATTCTTTCAAAGAGTTGTACCATCATTTTTGTTGGTTCAGCTGTCTTAATTTGTTTGTTTTATCTTTGTTGTGTCTTAAGACATTAGTTATTGGACCTTAGTTATTGGGCCTAATCTTATTTAGTGTTTTATTTGACTAGGTGTCCCATCACTAATCAGGGGCATTCTAGTCTATTTATGTAATATTATGTAATGCTCTTATATATAATAGATTAGGGCTGGCTGAGAGTGATTTTGCCGCCCTTCTCATATCTTCTCCTTCTTCTTCTTCTCTTCTCATTCGGCAGCCTTATTCCAGCAAACATGGTATTAGAGCTCTAATCTTTCGCCTGGTTACAGCAGCCGCTTCTTCTTCTACTCGCATCTACCTCTCTCTCTTCTTTTCTATCTTGGTTTCTGCAAAGAAACCCTAGGGTTGGTCGTCGAACAAAGCAGGACCTACATCTAGGGTTTCCCTTGGTTGTAGAGCCCAAGGGGAGTTAGACCCAGAAGCTGATGCCCTAATAGGCACAGTATAGCAAACTGTAGCCATTCGGCTAAGAGGGATCTGTGTAAAACAGATCTAGGAGGGAGGACTGATCTCAGCAGTCCTAGAACTGTTCGTGGGTGAGGTTATTGCCTGCGATAGCAATGATTAGCACACAGTAGAAGCCAACACAGCAAGTTGCAGGCTGCGGCAACAGTGATTAGAACACAGCAGAGGGTCGCACAACAGATTATAGTCTGCAACAGCAGTAATTAGGGCATAGTGCAGCAGTGTAGTACTCGGTGTTTCAGCTCTGTGACGGGTTCTCAGGACTGAGTTTCAGTGCAGCAAGTTCCGTAAGTTCGAAACAGTTCTCTATATATTGTGTTTACAGTCTTGACATTTACAAGTAGGAGAAGATGTCTTCCATATCTAGGGAAGTGTCTTCTAGAGATGTTAGGGCTTGTGGGAGGTCTCCTAATCTRGAGAATCCAAATCTGCACAGCCTACAGATCACAARTGTGTTGTTGGATGAGTACAACTTCAGAGAATGGTCTGTTTCAGCCATGCTCTTCATCACATCCCAGGAACTCACTGGTTACTTGGACGGGCAGAAGAA